AGCGGGGCCAGCACCAGGCGGCGCAGCTGCTGCAGCGGGTCGCCGCCGCTGCGTCGGCGGGCCTTGCCGTCGGCGGCGCCGCCGGCGCCGCCGGCCTCTGCTGCCGTGGGGTACTGGATGGGGTCCTGCCCCGCCGCCAGCGCCGCCTCTGCAGGGCAGCCGGAAGGGAGGGAGGGGCAGCGGGCAGCCACGTCATGAGGCGCGCGGGCTTTGAAGCAGGGACAGGCGTCATCGCTCCCCCAACAACCACAACAATCGCAACCACAACCACGCCGGGGACCACCGCCAGCATAGCAAACTAGGGCAGCCCTTGGTGCCACCCCGGCGAAGCCCCAGCAAGCACACTGCCCGCCGCGCCAAGCAGCCGCCCAGCCCCACACCGATGCCGCAGCGTGCCTGGGTGCGGCGCTGAGCAGGCGAGGGAGTAGCCCAGCAGGATGCGCTCCGCCACCTGCCGGGCAGGCAGGCAGGCAGGAGAGGAGCGGGAGGGAGGGGTCAGGCAGGCAGCCGGTCAGGGGAGCCCACGGGGCACCCGGGGGCCCTCAGAAGGAGGAGACACAGCAGGGTGCTGAAGAGAGGGCTGCGAAGGCACCAGGCGGGCAGCCCCCAGCACACACACACACACACACACGCACACACCAGACCAGCAGGCAAAGCAGAGCAGAGCAGGCGCCCACGCTCTCCCTGCTGGCCCGGTGGGGCGCCGGCCTGGTGCTTGCCCACCCCCCAGGCCTGGTGCTGCCCACGAGCCCGCACACACACATTCGCCACAGCCCTCCGCCTCACCTGCCGAAGGTCTGTGATGCTCATGCAATTGATTGAGATCAGGGCAGGCGGGGGCAGTTGGGCGCCCCCTGCCTCTGCCGCCTCCCGGGTGCCGTCGTCATTGCCGCCGTCGGGAGCGGCGGTACCGCCAGGCTGGCGCCAGCACTGGCGTACCACTTCGTGGGCGGTCAGCGACTTGCCTGCGGGCAGGCGAGCAGGGTAGGGAGGGCGGCTGAGTGCTGGCAGCAGGGCAGACAGCAGGCAAGGCAGCGGCAGCGGCGGCGGGCAGGCAGATGCCCGCAGGCGGTGGGCAGGCAGATGCACGCAGGCAGCAGCTGGCTGGGAGGTGGATGCAGGTACGAGCCTTGCCAGCTCCCAATCCGCTCTGTACATCAAGCCAGGTTTGCGGATGCAGCAGGCAAGGTAGCGGCAGGCGCCGCAGCCGCAGCCGGCAGCGGGCGAGCGGCGTGCAGCAGGGGCAGCGGCAGCGGCTGGAGGGCGCACCGGTGCCGGGCAGGCCGCTCAGGTAGATGGAGCCGCCGCGGCGCTGCGCCAGCTGGTGCCCCAGCCAGCCGCCCACGGCGGCCGCCTGCTTCTCGCGGCACGCCGGGGTGCTGCCTGCAGGGCAAGCAGCGGGAGCAGGGCAGGGCAGGTGAGGCTCAGGCGCCAGCACGGGCGGGGAGGGTGCTTGCCAGCAGGCCCATAGGCCCGAGCAGGCCCGAGGCGAGGCAAGGGTGGAAGAGCAGGAGGGCAGGGGGAGCCAGGACCTTGCAGCGAGGTCGTGCAGCAGCACGGGCTGGCAAGCACGTGCGGGGCGGGCTGTGCAAGCCAGCAGCAGGCAGGCGGGAGGAGGCTGGGCAAGCCAGCAGCAGGCAGGCGGGAGGCGGGCTGGGCATGCGGCAGCAAGCGCGGGGCGCACCCTGGGCGTAGCTGCCGACGTGGAGAGCGGCCTTGGCGGCTCGCACCTGCGGGAGGAAAGGAGAGGGGCCAGCAGCAGCGGTGCAGGTGACGCGTGCAGGCAGGCCAGTCAGGCAGGCAGGTGGGCAGGCAGACAGGCGGGTAGCGAGCCAGGCAGGCGGGTGGAAAGTACAAGTGTGAAGAGAGCAGAGTAGAATGAGCTGCATGGTGTCAGGGCAGCCCCTGCGGACAGCCCGGCGGCACAACAGTGGCGGGTCCTGCCCACCACACACACCACCACACACACACCACCACCACCACACACCACCACCACACACACAAGACACACACACAAGACCGCCCCCTGCTCGCCTTCTCAGCATCCAAAGGGTCCCACCAGGCATCTGCCGCTGGCTCCGCAGCCGCGCCGCCGCCGCCGCCGGTGCCCGTCTTGTTGGCAGGGGTGGCGGCTGCAGCGGGGAGCGGCGGGACGCACAGTCAGCAAGGAACCTGCGAAGAAGCTGCGCCGCAGCAGGCAGGCAGACAAGGAGCAGGCAGGCAGGCAGGCAGGCAGGCAAGGAGCAGGCAGGCAGGCAAGAGGCCCGCGCAAGCAGCGGCGCATGCATACCTGTGCTGGCTCCGGGCGAATCGCCTGCGCCGCCCACGCTGGGGGCCTTGGCGGCGCTCTGAGGCAGGTTGAACCGCACAGACCCTGAGGGTTTGCCTGCGGCAGCAGCAGCAGGGGCCAAAGGGAGGCAGAGAGGGTGCTCGGAAAGCGGCAGGCTTGCAGCGGCAGGCTTGCGGCAGTGGCAGCGGGGAAAGAGGCTCGGCGTTGCGGCAGGCAGCAGCAGCAGCGCTGAGCGCAGGCAGCAAGGGCAGCGCACCGGTGGCGTCGGAGGCGTCTGGTGAAGGCTTGAGGCGGGGCGACTGCCGCCGCGGCGACGCGCCTGGCGGGGCCGCCGCTGCAGGAGCGGCCGACGGACCCGCTGCTGCCGCCTGCTGCTGCCGCTGCTGCTGCTGCCTGCCTGGCGAGGCGCGCTGCCGCTTGGCCGCAGGAAGCGCCGGCGGGGAGCCTCCCGCGTGCCCCGCCGCCGCGTCTGCAGCCGCCTCCGCTGCCTGCTGCTGCTCCTGGGCTGCGGCTGCCCCGCTGGCCGCCTCGGGCTGCATGGCAGCCGCCGCCGCCGCCGGCTCCGCAGCCGCCGCCGGCGCCGCAGCTGCCGCCTGCTGCTGCTGCTGCTGCGGGACAGGCACCGGTTGATCCACGGCACCCTGGTCCACCGCCGCCGCTGCGGCTGGCTGGGGTCCCCCGGCTGCCGCCAGCAGGGCCGCCATGGGCGCCACGCCTGCCGTCGATGCAGTGGCCTTGGCGCGGCGGGGTGGGGAGGGGCTCTTGAGGATGCTATCGTGCAGAGACTGCAGCAGCGGCAGGTAGGGAAGAAGGGAAAGCAGGGGACTGTGGAGCTGGGAGCAGGTCCGGCGCACGGCGGCGCTGGCGCGGCGCAGGCTCGCCGGCAGCAAACACGCCGGGCAGCGTGGCTGCCGGGTGCCGAGAGCATCACGCGTAAGGGCAGGCGGCCAGGGGCGGGCAGCAGCACGGCACCTGCGAGGGCTGCGGCCCCATGGACGTCAGCGGCTCCTCCTCCCGCTGCTGCTGCTGCTGCGCAGCACGAAGAACCGGCTGAGCCTCCTGCTGCCGCTGCCGCTCGGCCCCGACAGCTGTGGGGCCGCCCTCCGCCTCCACAGCCTCCTGAGCCTCCTCCCGCTGCCGCGGCTGCTTGCCGCCCCCGGCCTTGCGCGCGCTGGCCTTGCGCCCGCTGCCCGCCTTGGTGCCGCCGCCGCCGGCTGGTGCTGCCACTGCCGCCGCCGCCGGTGCAGGCGAAGCGCTGGCGCCGCGACGCGGCCGCTTGCTGGGCGGCGCTGCCTTCGCCGCTGCCTCTTCTTCCTGTCGAGCTGCCGCCGCTGCCTCCTTGGCTGCGGCAGACGCCTGCCGTGGCTGGTTCTCTTTCTCGGCGCCGCCGCCGCCAGCTGCCGCGGCGCGCTTCCTGCCGCTGAGGCTGGCGACAGCCGCGCTGGGCGTCTGCCCAGCAGCGGCCGCCGCCTTGACGGAATTACGGGTGGTCCTGCCCCCAGGGGCGGCGCCTGCTGCTGCAGGCGCTGTTGCTGGGGTCGCCGCCTTCTTGCCAGCAGTGCGCGGAGTGGTGACTGTCGCGTTGCGCCGCCGCGTGCCGCCGCTCGCCATCGCGCCTCGAGCCGCCGCCTTGATGCGCGCTGCCACTCGCTGCAGCAGCGGCTGCTGTTGACCGTGCTGTGTATGCTGGTAGGCTTGGCGTTCCGCTGCCTGCTGCTGCAACTGAGACTGGGTCTGTGCCACTGCAGTCGTCGCCGCCGCAGCTGGTGGGGAGCGCACCTCGTCCTCGCCCCAATCGCTGTTCACGTCCACGAAAAAGCTGTCGCTGAAGTCCTGGCTGATATCAACGGACATGCAAGGTGGCCATGCGCTGTTGACAGAAGGCTGCGCACTCAAACCCTGCGGCCATGCGGGAGACACAGCGGCGAGCTCAGCGTTGGATGCGCTGCTGTATGGTCCTCTGCAGAGTAAAGGCGTCACCGGGGGCGGCAGCGGGGTCGGGGGAAGCCCGAGCGGCGTGCTCAAACAAGCGGCACACACTTGAGGGCGCCGGTGTGCTCCGCGTCGCTAACACGAGTGCTGATGTGTGGTGGGTACACGATGCGCAGTTGATCCGATAAATGGAGCAGCAGGGAGCGAGAACAGGGGTTTGAAAGGGGCCAAGGAAAGTGGGAGCCGGCCGATGGCGCGGCCAGTGCGATCGGGTCTCCTGCAGGCCTAATTGGCGGTAGCGCTGCAGCAGCAACTGGGCACGCCTCTCTTTGCCGCCATGGCACTGGCGCTGTCACGGCGCCTGGGCTCCTCCTCTGCTGCACGCTCCCTGTCGGCAGCGCTGGTCAACAGCTGCAGAATCGATGCGCCCATCATTAGCGGTCCAACCAGCTGCAGCGGCGCCCTGGCAGACGAGTGGCCATCGGCGGGAGCGACGGCGGCAGGTCGTGGCAGTGCAGGACCAGCAGCGGCGGCGGCAGCCTCCAGCTGGCCTCGCCACCTGTTCGTCTATGCCGCTGCAGTAGAGGTGAGCTGCGACGCCACTGCGCTTTGCATGTGTGGCTCAGGGGTGGAGCCACCACCAGGCGGGTGCTGCTGTGCTGCGCTGAGCCATCTCATTGGTGAATGGATGCAGGCGACCCGTAGCAGCAGCAGCAGAAGCAGGAACAACAGCGGCAGCGGCGGCGGCAGCAGCGTGCCAAGCAGCAGCGAAACCAAGCGCCGCAGCAGGCGCCCGCCAGACTATGAGCCTGAGCAGCTGCTGGCCAGCCTGGGCCTCAGGAGCTCACCCGCTACGCTTCGCCAGAAAATGTGCAAGCTGCCCAACTCGTGGCGGCAGCAAGGTGTGCTGCAGCATGCGGCAGCGGTGGTGGCGCACCTGCATGGCTTGGGCCTGGAGCAGCCGTTGCTGGAGCAGCTGTTTACCGGTTGCCTCTATCTGTTCAGTTGGCCGGCAGAGGAGCGTGCGGTTAGGCTGTTTAATCAGCTGATGCATTGCGATGGCGTCAGCGGGCTGCAGGCGGCAGAGGCAGCCCGCTGCTTCATTACGCATGCACCAGCCGCACATTGCACCAATTTCACATTTCATGAGCTGGCGGCGATCCTTGCGCACAGCCAAGACAGCACCGGCAGCCCCAAGGCCAAAGTGCCGGCAGCGCAGCGCACGGTGGCGGCGCTGCTGCGGCGGACCCCAAGCGCTGTGCTGCTAGTTGCCATGAGCGACGGCAAGCTGCGGCAGCAGGCTGAAGGGCTTGTGGCGCTGGGCTGCTTGCCCGCTGCCGTTGCCAAGCTGGCATGGACGCAGCCGCGGCTTCTTACTAGGAGAGATGCAGCAGGGCGGGTGAAAGACGTGATGGTTGTGCTGCGAGATGAGCTGGGGCTGGCGGCAGATGAGGTGCTGCAGCTGGCTTCCAAGGTGCCCGGCTGGCTGACCAGCAACCTGGGCACGCTGCGGGAGCGAGCGGCGGCGCTGGCGGAGGTGGGGAGTGCCGCCTGTTCGTACTTGCACAGTGCTGGGCCTCTTGCCATGCATAAGAATGCCAGCAGGGGCTGCCGCACCACCTGCAGCCAGTCCTGCCTTGCCTCATTTCCTGGCCTGATGCTGCATGCCGCAGGGCTTTGGCAAGGAGGCTGGTGCTGGCATGGTCAAGCGCTCCCCAGATACTCTCAACTGCGATGCCAGCGTGTGGCGCTGCAACCTGCGCTACATGGAGGCTTGCGGCGTAGCAGACCCTGTGGCTGTGCTTTACCTGGGACCCAGGCTGCTTCACCACAACCACGCCGCACCCGACTTTGTGGCACGGCGCCTGCTGCTGCAGCGCTACTGGGGCCTGTCTGCGGCGCAGCTGTACGAGCGGCATGCTGGCTTTTTGACACAGCTCAAAGTAGAGCGGCTGGTGCAGCGGCTGCAGTATGTGGAGCACCGCGGCCAGCTGCACCGGCTGCCAGGCTGGGCAGCAGCTGGGGAGCATCAAACCGCTTGGGGAGGCATCAAGCAGCAGGCGGGCAGCACCGAGGGCGCCTTGGCCCTTTCCGCACTCCTCGTGAACGAAGAAAACTTCCTGAGGGCGGTGCACAACAGTGAGCTGAAGGCAGCTGGCAGCACTCCTGCCAGCAGGCGCAAGAAATGGGATGATGTTGTGGCGCGGTGGACGGAGTTTGTGGCGGCGCACCCAGCCGGCACCGGGCCTGTCTGGGAGTGGGCGCAGCAGGCAGCGAGGCACGAGATTGACCAGCGGCTGGCGCCGGCGCTGTCGCCTGAGCTGCGGCAGGAGGCTGCAGGGCGGCAGCGGCACTCTAGCCAGCCCAAGCCTCAATTAGCAGCCCATCTCATCCCTTGATACCATTCTGGTCCGGTTCATTTTGTTGCAATGGCTGCACTGATGCAGCGGGGAAGAGCTGCAGAGCCGGAGCGGATAAGGCACAGCCGAAGCAGCAGGGCTTTGGCCGAGCGGAAGCTAGAGAGTGGGGAATGATGGGCGAGTGTGGGAGGTAAAGGAAAGAGTAGGAAATTGAGGGAGGGGAGGGTTGATGGTGAGCGCGTTATTCGAGGGGGGGAAAAAACAGGGAGGCCGCAGGCGGAACAGGTACAGATCGCCATGTGGTGCGGGCAGCAGTTGGGTGTGACAAAACAAAAAGGTAGCGGGACGGGGTAGCATATGCCTGGCGGGGTATGAGTTCCGATGCAGGGCCAATTAGGGCCCAAATACAACCTGCACCCCCGCCAGCTCACAAGCGGCCCAGGCCAGCAAACTCTCCGCCCGGGTCTGACGCCTGGCTGGCCCCAGCCAGCAGCGGCGCCTCCTCCAGCGCTCCTGGCTGCCCCTGCGCCTGCTGCTGCGGCTGCTGGCCGCTGGCCCAGAAGCTGAACCCTCCCCCTCCCCCTCCGCCGCCGCCGCCGCCGCCGCTGCGGCTGCCACCACTGCTTGCTGTTGGCGAGGACGGCTGCGCGGCCGGCAGCGCCTCTGGCGCCGGCGCCGGCTCTACATGCGGAGGGGGAGGCGCAGGCGCCTGGCTGCTGCTGCTGCTGCTGCTGGTGGTGGTGTGCCGCTGGGAGGCCAGGGGCGTCGACCGCTGGATGGGCTCCACAGGCGGCGCCGCCGCGTCGGCACGCAGCCGCTGCAGCACCTGGGCCGCGGTGGGGCGGCGCTGCGGGCTGGGGGCGATGCAGGCCTGGATGAGCTCCAGAACCTCCTGCGACACGCGGCGACACGCTGGGGGCGTGCGGCTGTGTGAGCCGGCGGCGGCGGCAGGCGACGGGCGGCTGGGCGAGGCTCCCGTTGCCCACACAGCCCCGCCGGGCCGCCCCCTCGCAGCCAGCTGCAGCCGGCAGGAGCCCGAGCTTGCTCGCTGCCTGCTCAGCTGCGGCCACCTGTGACCTGCATCCACCCTCAACCCCCGCCAGCCAGCCCCAGCGCCAGCCCCCGCCCCCCAGCCCACCTGCGAGCACTCCTGCGGCACGTGCGGCGGGCGCCACTCCCCGCGCTTGGTGCCCATGTGCTGCGTGGTGATCTCCACCAGCAGGATGCCCAGGCTGTAGACGTCGGCGGCCAGGGTGCAGCGCAGGCCCATCAGCTGCTCGGGGGCTGCGGGGAGGGGTGGGGCGGGGAGGGGAGCGGGCACCGATACGTTGGCGTGTGCGTGCGTGTGTGTGTGTGTGATTTGGGAGGAAGGGCAGTACAAAAGGGAGCGGCAGGGAGGGAAGTGGGGCTAAGCAAGGGCGAGCGCCCAGCAGCAAGGCAGCAGCAGGCAGCAGCAGGCCAGGCAGCAGCTCACGCCGGCGCGGCAGCCACCAGCCGCATCGCCAGGCAAGCACCAACCCACGCAGCCGCAGCCCACCCCACCGACCCCCTTCCCCTCCCTCGCTCACCCGCATACGTCAGGCTGAGGCCCGCCGCCGAGCGCGCGCTGCTGAGCAGCACTTGAGACACGCCCAGGTCTGCCAGCGAGGCGCGCAGATCAGAGGAAAGCAGCACGTTGCTGCGGCGGTACGGGGCGGGGCAGGCGGGCGGGGGACAGCGGTGTAAAGGTGCTTGTGCTGTGTTTGGGAGCCAGGCGGGGCACGATGCAGGGCGCGTTTGCTGCAAGGTCCCTTCAAAGCATGCCGCCAGCTTGTCACCACATTTGAGCAAGAACAGACACACGCCCCACCACCAGCCACACACACGGATTACATACTGATGCCCCGCCCCTGCCCCTGCCCCTGCCCCGCCACCCCACCCCGCCCCGCCCCACCTGGCCTTGAGGTCGCTGTGCATGATCTGGCGCTGGGTGTGCAGGTAGTCGAGAGCTTCCGCCACATCCATGGCCACCTGCCGCCCGCTGCGGCAGTGAGGGGCGGGGCGCAGGGGCGTGTGTGTGTGAGGGGGATAGTGGTGGTGGTGGTAGTGTGTGTGTGTGTGTGTGTGTGAGAGAGAGAGAGACAGAGAGAGGGTG